GTAAGGCGTTTGCTTTTATGAATGAAACGACTTAGCTTATTGCTTGTGCGCCAGCGTTCATGAATGAAAATGTTGTTGGTGTGTGATTTACTACAAATTTAGGATTTGTCAATTTGGCTGCCATATTGATTTCTGGTGCTGATGCTATTTGAGACAATTGTTGTTTTTGTACAACAATGTTTGTATTTTTCCTATTGGCTGACGTACTTACATTTGTACGCTTAAATGTATGTAGATTTGTGTATGCATTACTTATTTTGCGCGGTCATATGCATATTTGTACATACATACTTACATATAGAGCAGTGCGCTCACATGTATTTATTGATAATTGATAATATATTATTACAAGTATATTATATAATATAACATATTGATGTACATACATAAATTATTAATTCTGTAAAAATTGAAATTAGAAAATTATGAAAATAGTAAAATATCATTTTTTGCATAATCTTTCACATTTTATCAATGTAGTATTTGTGCAAAAAATAATAATTTATAAATTTTTCATCATAAAAATCGTTTATATGGCAAAAAATAATCATGCATATGTGAAGTGGCATTTGTATTTCTTGTTTTCTCATTCATTTCATTTCATTTTTCTCTTTATATTGGTAGATACGTATTTTGTCAGAGAACGTTGTTAAAAATTCTCATTTCTGTTAATAACAGGAAAACTATACAGAAAGTGGTGAACTCCTTGATCTCAAATTTTCAGCCAACCAATCGAGCATCATACAAAATTCAATTTGCACCTTCTCATTGTTTTAAGTTCTCTGGTTTTGACGCGTGAAATACACTGCTTGCTAACTTTAGTTGCTGCACGTTATTTGCCGCGTGAACCAATTCCGCTTATTGTCTTGTATTTGGTTTATTGTTGTCACGCGCAAGACTATAAATGTTCGATCAGCAATATGGCCGGAAGCGTTATTATTGCAGTACTGAACTTTTCTTTGGTGTTATGTGCAAAACTGTAGACGCGCCGTCAGCAGATTACGTTGAAGCGATATTTGATTACGTTGAAGTGATATTTTGGCCGGATGATTGATTACCCGTGTTAACTTATATAATAGAGACAGCCAATGAAGGCAAAAGCTAATATATATTATATATTATATATGTATTACCATATATGCAGGTGCTTTTTTCTAACTAATTTCTAATATATGTTTTAGTGGGGATATCCCTCCAAAACGCACCACAGAAGTTAATACATGGGTATTTACAATATATGCAGGTGGATTTCGATTGGAAAAGTACTTGTATATTATATACAGCTGTGTTCATAAAAATAGCAGTGCTCATGGGCTGCAACTTTAAACTTAATTTTATATATCAAAAAGTAAATGAATGTTCACAAATTTAATTTTGTTTTAACTCTGTGATTATTTTAAACAAAAACAAATCAATTTATTATTCAAAATGTTGTTATTTTTTTTTTACATTATTAATTTAAACAAAAAAGTGCTGTTTACAGCTTTTCATAAAAATAGCAGTGAGTAATGAAAACAGTGGAATTGTTGAGCTCCAAAAAACTATTTTAATTTGTTTGCTTGGGTTAGTACTTAGTCGTGTACCCATTATTTGGCATCCCCCCTGGCATCTGCGAGGCACAGAATCCACCAAGTCCTGGCAGCGCTTGACAGGGATCCGCTCCCATGATTTTTGAACAACCTCCCAAAGCTGTGATCGAGATGTTGGATTTGCATTTGCAACATATCGTTTAACATCTCCCCATAGGTTTTCAATTGATGCCATCCAGCTTTTGACCAGTTTGCTTGTATGTTTGGGGTCGTTATCTTGTTGAAACGTCCATTATAGTGGCATTTCCCAATTGGCATAAGGAAACATAACATTTTCTAATATGTTAACATATACCGATCGATCCATGATCCCATCAATCATGAATATAGTACCCACTCCACTGTAAGAAAAACATGCCCATACCATAATACTCAATCCGCCGTGTTTAACTGTCTTCAAAGTGTACCTAGGATCATACTCTGTGTTAGGTGGACGTCTGACATATTGTCTGGAGCCCTTTCCACCAAATAACACAATTTTACTTTCGTAACTCCATAAAATATATCGCCACTTTGTAATGGGCCAATTAAGGTGACTTTTGGCGAACTCCAAACGTGCTTTGACATGTCTGGTGGCTAACAGTGGAACTTTTCGTGGATGGCACGCTTTGAGATTTTGTTCTTTAAGACGTCGCCGAAAAGTAACGCCACTAACATTCAAGCTTAAGTCATTTTTTATCTTGCTGGACGATGCAAAAGGCTGCGCCCTGTTATATCGCACAATAGATCGGTCCTCATGAGGTGTGGTTTTACGTCGGATACCACGATTTTCTGTCATTTCTTTAAAGTTTAAAGCATTATGAATCATTTAAGCAGAACATTCACATATTTCTTGGATGTCTTTATATGTTTTTTCCAGGTTTCTTAGTTGCACTATAATATTTCTTTTTTCAGGAGTACAATGTTTGCCTCTGCCCACTAAGTTAAAAAATATAAATTTATTTTAGTGTTTTCTAATGTTAATAATAGTCACTAACACAAAACCACTTACTTTTTATCAATTAAACGTCTTAACAAAATTTTTTTGGCATATCAAGATACGCACTGCTATTTTAATGAACAGCCAAAGACTGGTGCTTCTAGCAAACTGAGTTGTTCATTTGCTTAAATCTCGCAAATCTAACGGGATTTTTTCGTTTCTTCTTTATACACATTCCATTCTACAACAACAATGCGTAGAAGTTGGAATAATCGTAACGGAACTTGAAAAAAAATAACATTACTTGATTGCATTTCTCGCACTGCTATTTTTGTGAACACAGCTGTATGTTTTAGTGGAGAAATTGCCAAATTTCGCCAAAACGCACGTAGTTAGATTTTTTTCTAATTGTAGTTAATATATTGTGCCGGATTTCTCGATAAATCGTCTACCTGTAACTCACTCTTGAGTTCGATCACTGGATTGTTAAATAAAAGTCCCAATTTAATGGCTACACACTTATCTTTATTTCTAATTCAAACAACTTAACACTTATTGCTCGTTATTGCTCGATACTTCTTGCTTATAGCTTAATTGCTCTTATCACTCTAACTAGAACTGTGTTTGCTGCACAGTCCGGCAGCCCTTATATAGTAAATCTGTAACAAAACATTGCTTCTAGAAAATTCTGGCAACTACGAACAACTGATCGTCCCGATTAGACATATTTGCGATACCAAACACAAAGCTTTTATGTCCCCCATCTCATCTTCTAGGCTGGTGCTGACATCGTTAGCCGTCCTTCTCTTCTTGAAGTTAATTCCATCCGTTTTCCGGATACTCAGTTTCTGGTACATCCCTTGACTTAAAGCTGTCTCGAGATTCCATTCTTGATCAGAACGTAACTCCATTGGAACACCGAATCTCGTTACCCACTTGTTGATGAATGCCTCCGGTTCAGTCTCTTGGTTAGGAATTGTGTATACTTGTGGCCATTCATTGAAATGGTCCTTGACTACCAAAACATGACTATTTCCTAATTTATTGGTGGGGAATGGATCATCTTCATACACGCCTATTTTCTCAACTGGCGCACGCGAATTGTGCTGTTTCACTTGCCCATGACTCCTGGACCTTGATCCTTTAGCTACAATGTTCTCAGCATATTTCGCAGTCCTTTCTATAGCTGATTGACAACCAGTCCAATAAAACCTTTGCTTCAAATGCTCCAAGGATTTCATGTCTCTCAAGTGCCCTCCTCTTGGACATTTGTACTGCACGTTAAGAACATCAGGAATTCCAACCCTTGGAACAACCATAAGTACTCGGAAGGGTTGCTTATTTTCGCTTTTCCATACTCGATGCAAGCAGTCATACACTAACTTTAAACTGCTCCGTTCTGCCCAATATGATTTTGTGACTGGCCTTCCTGTAGTTATTTCTCCAATCGTTGTACATTGGTTCAACTTCACCTTATCTAATGCACCTTCCAATTCTGGATTTTCTTGCACAGAGTCATCCGTTTCAGGTTCAATTTAATGCTGATCTTCCACCTGTGATGGTATACACGCTTCCTGCTCTTCCAACTGTAAGGACACTTGTGCTGGTATCCAAGCTTCTTGCCCCTCCAACTGTGAGGAACCTTTTACTGGTTCACACGCTTCCTCCTCTTTCAACTGTGAGAACACCTGCCCTGACATACGCAGTTCCAGCTCTTTCGACTGTGAGGACCCTTGTACTGGTACACACGCTTCCTCCTCTTCCGACTGTGAGGACACCTGCGCTGGCATGTGCCCGTTCAGTTCTTCCGACTGTGAAGACACTTGTGCTGGTATACAAGCTTCTTGCTCTTCATACTGTGAAGATCCTGGTTCACATGCTTCCTCCTCTTCCGACTGTGAGGATACCTGCGCTGGCATATGCACGTCCAGCTCTTTCGATGCTGACAACTGTGCTAAAAAACTCTCAAAGGAGGATTCCAACGCAGTATAAATAACCTCTACTGAATATTGAGTCACTTCCTTCTCTTGTTTCTTTGTTGTCTCTTCCTCTAATTCCGATTGAAAGACATATTCCTCAACATTAATGTTCTTTGCTTCCATGGCTCTTCTTAACCGCGACTGTAATTTGGACTTTACTCCCTTTGTTGCCAAGCCACGTTTTTGCAGCTCCTTTTTCAATTGTGGAATGTTCAGATCGTTAAACTTGGCCATTTTCAAACAATTCTCTCTTTGGGAATTTATTTAACAATCCCACTTCTGACACCAATTGTAACGGATTTCTCGATAAATCGTCTACCTGTAACTCACTCTTGAGTTCGATCACTGGATTGTTAAATAAAAGTCCCAATTTAATGGCTACACACTTATCTTTATTTCTAATTCCAACAACTTAACACTTATTGCTCGATACTTCTTGCTTATAGCTTAATTGCTCTTATCATTCTAACTAGAACTGTGTTTGCTGCACAATCCGGCAGCCCTTATATAGTAAATCTGTAACAAAACATTGCTTATAGAACATTCTGGCAACTACGAATTCGCTAACTAGTCGCTTCTGGCAGTTTATCGTTGATCCGTGTTCGTCACAATATGTTTTAGTGGGGAAATTACGCCAAAATGAAAGAAAAGGATGAAAATTGTCAACGGAATTTTAGTTTTAAAAGATTTTCGACGAGAGTACATGAATTCGTTTCCGTTTTTCCGTTGTTGGTTTATAAATTGGTATAAAACTAAAAAGAAATTAATATGTCAGTTAAAAGGAAGTGTAGCGTTCGCGAGTGTATTGCAGAATCGGAAAGATTGTTTTCGTTTCCCAAAAACGAGGAGGACCTCCAAAAGAGGGTGGAAAACCTCAAAATCCCGCCACCGCTGGTCCCGCCCACAATGCATTCGTTTGCATTAAACACTTCGCGCGAAGTGCAGTGGGTGTGAGAAGATTGATGGCACATGTTGTGTACACCCTCAACCTTGGTAAGTTCTTCTTCTTTCAATAATATAAAATTATATAGAGTAGTTTATATAAATATACATTTGTTTAACTTTATTAGGATTAGAAAAACTTTAAAATTTTTTTAAATTAGAAACATGTGTATAATTTAAAATATAATATTAGTATGGTAGCAATATAATATATTACATACATATAGTTGGATGTGTATGTAGGCATGTATGTATATTGAGAGTATAATTTTAGTAGTAAATATACTAATGATCATATACATAAGTACATATATTAACATATGTACATATATAAACATTAGTATATTTGCTGATACTTATAATATAAGTACATACAGTGATGTGCGATGAAATAGAGCCAGCACTATAGATATCTTTTAAATCAATATATTTCAAGAAATTTTTGTTTTTTCAGTTTTTTTTTTATTGTTAAAAAAAAAACCCATGGAGTATATATAAAGATACCAATTAAAAGTCTTAAATGTAAAATAAAAATTAAAAACTCATAGAAAACTGTAATTTTTAATGAAATAATCATTAGAAAGAATAAAGAATAATAACTGTTACATTAATATTTAGTGAAGTATCCATGGTTTTTTATAACTGCTGTGCAAAGTCTGGGCATATAACCCACTCAATTCTGGCACATAACAGCTGGAATTTTATGCCATCCGGCCTTCACTAGCCTCCTAAGATCCTCTATTTACTATTTTTTTATACTCTCGCAACTTGTTGCTACGGAGTATAATAGTTTTGTTCACCTAACGGGTTTTTGTGTCACCTAAAAATAATCGAGTTAGATATAGGGTTATGTATATATAAATAATCAGGATGAAGAGACGAGTTGAAATCCGGGTGACTGTCTGTCCGTTCGCTTTTAGCATCTTTATCGACGGTGTGAAAATGGGTGAAATCTAAAACGAGTATGGTATACTTTGCGATAGTATAAAATGTTCGGTTACATCCGAACTTAACCCTTCCTTACTTGTTAGTTTTACTGATATATTTTAGTTCGAGTCAGCTAAATTTATATAAAATAAATAAAATAATACGATATAACATTTATATTTTAATGTAATTATTTACGTTTATACATACAACATGAACAGGTGTTGAATATAAAATTTTTATGTAATTAGGTTACGATGAAGCACCTAGGCATTTGTGGACGGGTCCACTGTCCCGAAGAAGCTGCTGCATTAGCAGCTCCGTTTCTAGGCAGGCGACGCTGTTTGAGTTCCCTAAAAAGGACGATGTTTGTCAGAGTTGGGCAGAGGCTTGCAACATAGTCGTGTCGCCTTCTGATACCCTATTTATTTGTCGTAACCATTTTGACCCAGAGTACGTCTCCAGATGCAAACTTTTGCCTGGGGCTATTCCATGTTTTAGATTAGAGTCAGAACCAAATCGTAGCTCTTCTAGTACTGACTCTGATTGGGTGTGCCCGCCCGTCACTATAACTTATGAACGTCCTAAGGTAGTTGTAGGATATAAAGAGAACGACATAACCTTGAAGGAATTCGAAGAATATTCCATTTTAGAGGAAAAAGATTAGGATTAGGGACACAAAATAACGACGTAGGCACTGCATTAGACAGTCGCGAACGATTTGCTCGATCCACACGGTTTTATCAAAGTAATGCGCTCAAACTTAATAAAATGATCGAAGAGTTAGAGGGGGTTATAAAACAGCTAGAAACAGAGTATAAAGAACTTAAAGATCGTGCAATAGTTGCGGATGAAACTTCAAGCCCTGGTGCTGTAACATTCGCTAGGATGATCGTCACAAAACGCACTTTCTTTAGTGACAATGAAAAGACATTGGCACAAAATATTAACTATATGTCCACCAAATCTTACAGTTTCATGCGTGACGATTTAGGTTTCGCTTTACCAAGCAAAAGCTCCCTTTTGAGATGGCGCCCCATTAGGTATGTTGTCCCTGGCGTCGATGCCAATGTCATGGGAAATTTGGCAAAATTGCCAAAAAATATGTCCGTTCTAGAACGTAATTGCGTTCTCTTATTTGGTGAAATCATCATAAAGTCCGATCTAACTTATAATCGAGTTAGAGATATCATTGATGGGTTTGTAGATTACGGGGAAGGCCATCGCGAAATGAAAATAGGTAGTAAATGTTGTTTTTTTATGGTTAAAGGGTTGAGTTCAAGTTGGAAATATGCGTTTTTTTACTATATTTTCAAAGGTGGACTTCTCAGTAAAAATGTATTTGAAATTTTGAATACAAATATCGCAGCACTGAAGTCAATTGGCCTTAACGTAAAGTCTTTAGTCTGCGATCAGGGGGGACCAAACTCTTCAATTTTCAATTTAATGCAAATTAGTGAAGAAAACCCCTTTTACATGCACGAAGGCTCTAAAGAGTATTGGTTATATGACTATTGCCACCTATTTAAGTCTGTCCGCAATACGTTAATGAAATATGATATTTCAAGTCCCGATGGAATAGTCAGTTTCAATATTATTAAAAAACTATACTCTATCGATCAGAGCAATACACATTTTAAGATTTGTCCGAAACTAACAGAGTCCCACATATATCCCAGCACCTTTGAAAAAATGTCTGTAAAACGTGCAACTCAAGTTCTGAGTAATTCGGTCGCGGCTGGCATAGAAATGGCCTATAGCCAAAATCTATTCTGCTCTGACGAATATTTAAAAAAATGTGTCAAGCCTACGCAGTTATTTGTGAAGAGGCAATGACAAAGACACAGAGCGAATTAACGCTCTATTCTGAGGCCCTAATCAGAGCAAAAAACTATAAGGATGACGGCGATTTAAGGCTGGTCAATCCAAGTGATAGGGTCTTCTAAGTGTGG